GCCTAGCTCACAGCAACCTCCAGCTCCTGGGCTCAAGTGATCCTCCTGCCTCAGCCTCCCGAGTAGCTGGGACTACAGGCATGGGCCACCATGCCTGGCTCATTTTTTTTTTTTTGTATATATATTTTTAGTTGGTCAATTAATTTCTTTCTATTTTTAGTAGAGACGGGGTCTCGCTCAGGCTGGTTTGGAACTCCTGACCTTGAGCAATCTGCCCACCTCGGCCTCCCAGAGGGCTAGGATTACAGACATGAGCCACCATACCCGGCCCACATGGTTTCTTTGAATCAGAAACCAAAGATGGTCCACACAGTGCATTTGACTGTTTTGTTTTGTTTTTTTCTAAAATAGTCCCTTTGGGCTAGTGATGTTGGCTCATGTCTGTAATCCTAGCACTCTGGGAGGCTGAGGCAGGAGGATTGCTTGAGATCAGGAGTTCAAGACCAGCCTGACCAAGAGTGAGACCCTGTCTCTACTAAAAATAGAAATATTAGCTGGGCGTGGTGTCATGCACCTGTACTCCCAGCTCCTTGGGAGGCTGAGGCAGGAGGATCACTTGAGCTCAGGAGTTTGAGGTTGCTGTGAGCTAGGCTGACACCACAATACTCTAGCCTGGGAAACAGAGCAAGATTCTGTCTCTAAAAAATAAAAAGATTCCAAAACAAAGACTTTAAGAGGGAACTCTAATCAACAGTCTTGCTAATGTTCTTAAATTAAAAGGAAAAGATTATGTATTTTGTACATAATAGTTTTATTTTTCTGTGAGGGGATCTCACTTTGTCTCCCATGCTAGAGGGCAGTAGTGTGATTATAGCTCCCTGCAGCCTCCAACTCCTGGCCTCAAAGGATCCTCCCAACTCAGCAACCCAGGTATCTGGCAGTACAGTTATGAGCCACTGTGCCCACAATTTTTTTTAATTTAAGCTTTCAAAAGAACTTTCTCCCTGCAAATATTGAAGATATCGGTGTGCACTGCCATCCAGCCTCCTTCACTTGGCTGCTGAACCATTTCATGATTCTCATTTCTTTGTAGGTGACCTAGTTTCATTCTGGAAGTGTTTTAGAGATTTCCTATTTCTACCCTCTCCTTCTGCTTTTTCTTTCTCTTTGTTTCTTTTTCTGGTGGAGTAACACCATCTGCTTCCAGGGCCAGCCTTGGACATAGCACGATTATGGAAAAACACTGTCAGCACTAATCACTCTGTCACATGCCAAAAAAAATCCTACAGAATTTGAGATGCCAACAAGTTGTCTAGATGTACTGGAAAATATCTGTAAATCACAGAGGATCTTTCTGTTTCAACTAATATGACAAAAAGTTTCAGCTTTACTGACTTACTAAATCCCTGAGCCATTTTTAAAGTCTCGTGTTTTTTCATTCCTAAATCGAGGAATGAAACAGATGTGAAAGTTATATTTAAAAGAGTGGAAAGCCAAGATGACTGTTATAGTCGTTAATGTTTAAAATGACATTTCAGATACTCTAATTAATCTAAACAAATTTTTGGAGCCTATTGGTCATTTTTTTTAACAGTTTTAAAAAATGTGTTTTAAGTGTACACGTCAATGATTTTAAATGCATTTTCAGAGTAGTGCAGCTATCACCACAATCTAGTTTTAAAGCATTTCCATCACCCCAAGGCCAGTTTGCAGTCACTCCTCCTTCTCACCCCACCCACACGCAACTCTTAATCTCCTTTCTGTCTCTAAAATTCTGCTATTTCTGGACATTTTGTGTAAATGGGATTGTACAACATGTAGTCATTGTGTCTGGTTTCTTTTGTTAAGCATTTTTCAATATTTTTAAATTGAGATATAATTATATATCATAAAATTCACCATTTTAATGTGTGTTCTCTATTCTTGATTATGAAATTTCACGAGGATGATTAAAGTGTTAGGAGTTTTTTGTTTTTGTTTTTCCTTTTTGAGAGACTGGGCATCTCTCTGTTGCTCAGGCTGGAGTGCAGTGGCACAATCATACATCACTGTAGCCTCAAACTCCTGGACTCAAGGGATCTTCCTGCTTCAGCCCCCCAAAACCCTGGGATTATAGTCATAAGCCTACAAATGTTTTTGGTTACAAAAAAAAAAGAAATAAAAAAAATATATAGTCATAAGCCACTGTGACTGGCCTGAGTAAAGTTTTGTTTTTTTTTTCCCCTCATTCATTCTCTTAGGTACTTAATAAGCACTTGTTTCTTTTCTGCTCTGAATCATCTGTATTTCAAACATTTTTTTCTAGCTCTTTCTTCTGTTATTTTTTCCTGAAATGCCTATTAGTTAGATAGTCTTCTACTCTTCCATTTTGTATTGGCCTCTAAAGTTGATTTCATCAACTTTATTTTAATTGACATTGTAAAATCCGGAAGTTCATATTTTTAATTTCTTTTTTCTTTTTTTTTCTTTTTTCTTTTTGAGGGAGGAGGACAGAGTCTCACTCGGTTACCCAAGCTAGAGTGCACTGGCATCCGTCTAGCTCACAACAACCTCAAACTCCTGGGCTCAATCGATCCTCCTGCCTCAGCCTTCTAAGTAGCTGGGACTACAGGCCCGCAACACCATGCCTCGCTAATTTTTTCTATTTTTAGTCCAGATAGGGTGAGGGAGTGTCTCACTCTTAATCAGGCTGGTCTTGAACTCCTGACCTCAAGCAATCCTCCAACCTCAGCTTCCCAGAGTGCTGGGGTTACAGGCGTGAGCCACCACACCTAGTCGTATCTTTAATTTCTAAGGGCTCTTTCTTGTTCTCTGTTCCTTTTTTATAGCATTATGTTTTGGTTTTATGAATATAGTATCTTCTTGAGACCTTTGAGTATGCTAATTAAGAAAAATGATTTATCATTTCATACATTTTCTGTTTCTTCCAGAGTCAGTTGGAATATCTGTCCAGCCTGTTGTATTTGTGGGTGGTATCGGACAGAGGAATAAAAGAGGAGCTGGCAGTGCTGCTCTGCTCCATATCTCTACTCTCAGTAGATCCCTCTGTATCCCGCCTCCCTTCTTATCCCCCCTCCCAGCCTCTGGGGGGGTCCTCCTCCTCCTCCATGGCTTCCTTCTGGGTTATGGCTCCCTTCTGCACGGTGTAAAGGTCAACGACTAGGCTGTGAAAACAACACCTAGGTTCAGATCCCATCTTGGGCACCTATTAATTTTGTGACCTTAGCCAAAGTATTTTATCCTTTTTAAATATCAATTTCACCTGTGAAATGGGAATAAAAATAATAACTTCATTGAGTTGTTTGGGTACCTAAGATAATGTATAGCTAGCATTTGGCTTAGTGACACATAGGAAAAAGATCCACCAGATACTTATTATTGTTCTTCAAAAGCCTCTCCATCTCCTGTAACTTTGTGGGAATCACTTTGGAAATATCTTTGATTAACATCCCTTTCAGAGCTCTACTGTTATTAGCTGCTATGTTCTGAATGTGTTCCCCAAAGTACACGTGGTGAAACTTAATGGCCCATGTCATAATATTAAGTGGTGGGGCCTTTAGGAGAAGATTAGGTCAGGAGGGCAGAACCCTCATGGATAGGATTAGGACCCTTATAATAGGGCTTGATGAAGTCAGTCACTCTCTCCAGCCTTGTGAGGACACCTAGACAGTGCCATCTGTCAGGAACCAGTCCTTACCAGACACAGAACCTGCCAATGCCTTGATCTTGGACCTTCTCTCCTCCAGAAACGTGAGAAAATAAATTTCTGTTATTTACAAGTTTCCCTATGTCAGGTATTTTGTATTGGCAGCACAAATGGACTAAACATTAGCTTATTCCTTTTTATTACTTTCCTGCTTTCATTTATACAGGATCTCCTTCCATTACAGATGGGAGAGAAAAAGTTCTGATCCAGTTTTGCTGCATTGAAGTGAAACATCTTTAAATTTTTTATTTTATTTAAAACTAGTACCACCCTATAGAGACTATATACACATAGTTTTCTTCCCATCCTCGTCCCACATGAACCTTTGAATGGAATCTTCCCACTGTCAGGGTTTTTTTTTTGGTTTTTTTTTGAAACAGAGTCTCACTATGTTGCCCAGGCTAGAGTGTCATGATGTCAGCCTACCTCACAGCAACCTCAAACTCCTCGGCTCAAGCAATCCTTCTGCCTCAGCCTCCGGAGTAGCTGGGACTACAGGCATTCACCACCACGCCCGGCTAATTTTTTCTATATATTTTTAGTTGGCCAATTAATTTCTTTCTATTTTTTAATAGAGATGGGGTCTCACTCTTGCTCAGGCTGGTTTCAAACTCCTGACCTTGAGTGATCCATCCACTTGGGCAACCCAGAGTGCTAGGATTACAGGCATGAGCCACCGTGCCCGGCCTTCTACTGTCAGTTTTAAATAAAGAACTTTCTTGTTCCTTTCACGAAGGTTTCATGAATACTGGGGTCCTGTCTTAGCTAAAACAACGTTACAAATCTGCTATGGTCGCTGCTTTGCCAGATCAGTTTTAAACCTACACGCCTGTCCTGGTGGGGAGCATGTCATTCCCTACTTTCCTACAGGTGGCGCCGCAGAGACGGGCAGAGTAGAGCGCGCTCCTCTGGAGACGGAGGGATGTCTCCAGTAGGGGGCGTGCCCGTGGGGACGGGTCTCTGCGAGCCGTACAGAACGTCAGGGGCGGGGACGCCCTTGGCCCCGCCCTTCCCGTCCGCGGCGCCCTGTGATTGGAGGACGGAACCATCACTTGGCAGCGCCGTTGGGAGGAAGAAGAGGGCCCCGGCTGGAGGGGACGCTGAGGCAGCTGAGGGGCGGGAGTGGGCCTCTGCCGCAGTTCGGACGCTTGTCCGTCACGTCTGTGTGGTGAATGGCGGCGGGATGGAGCGCGAGGGGAGCGGCGGCAGCGGTAGTTCGGCCGGGCTCCTGCAGCAAATCCTCAGCCTGAAGCTCGTGCCGCGGGTGGGCAACGGGACCCTGTGCCCCAACTCCACTTCTCTCTGCTCCTTCCCAGGTACGGCCCCGCGCCTGCGCACTGCGCGCCCCGCAGCCGCCGCCTCCACGGGGTTTGGGGCACCGCTGGTTCCCGAACGTGGGCTGGGGCTTTGCCGACCGTTCAGGTGGGCGCTGTTCAGATCTTGGAGGGAGGTTCCCGCTCGCTCGCCCAGGAGTGCCTTCCCCTCCCTGCCCGGTCATCTGAGGCGGAACCGCCCCGAGCTCGGGATGGGGGCGAGGTCGGAGGGGGCGGCCTCAGGTGGACCCAGCGGCTGCAGGGAGCTCGGCCGCTCTCTGTATCCCTCCTCCGAGCTGGCCTTGCCCTTTGGATTGTCCAAGCGTCCCAGGTGCTGACTTTCACCCGACTGAGCCCGGAAGGCAGTCGTCCCTGCCCTGTTTGGTTCCTCCCGTGGGAGAGGAAGTCGGCTCAGGGCGTCCCTGTCTTGCAGAGCTCACTCCCTTTGGCACCTTTGTCCAAATCCCTCCTCTCCACCACCTTCTCTTTCTAGGAATCACTTTCGGAGACCTGTTGCGGAGTCTCCCACTCACTCGCTCAAGACTTTTGACACAGCTCCTCTTTAACTCTCCTACCCCCCACTGAAGCTTCACCTGGACCTGATAGAAGGATTTTACAGAGTTATAATAGAAGGAAGAACTCCCCGTGCTCAGAAAATTGAAGGGAGGAGAAATTACTTCATCTGGGAACCCTGATAAAAAAGCTTTGAGGAGAAGGCATAGTTAAATTTGTGTTGGGCCGTTAAAGGCGAGAAGACTGAGGCCCAAGGCTGTGGAAGAGGGAGGTGGGGCTTGCCCAGCAGAGTTTACTTTTGTCTTCCTAAGCAGTGAGAGAAGGGAGCCCTGAGACAAAGCAAAGGGAAGGAGGTTGGGTTTACTGACTGCAGTCCTAAATAGACACCAGTGATTTCTCATGGGCTGGGCAGTGACTGCCAGGTGCCTTTCCGTGGACACCTGGAGGATTTCTATGTCTTGTCTGCCTAGGGATTTTCCTGGACAAGTCTGTGAAACGGCTGATCAGGTCATAACCCATATGGGGCAGATACTGATGTTAGCCCGTATCCGTGCCTAAAACGAGAATCTGGCTGTTCAAGTTACTTCAAAAGGTACTAGCATCACATTGAACAGTGATTAAAAATATATATATGGTGGTCTGGAGATCCTGTCTGGAAAATGTTCTCATTGTCTGGAGGCACTAGTGGGACCAGATTAATCTGTTCTTCTTTCCTTGTTTTTTCCCCCCAACTCTTTATTTATAATAATTTCAAACTTAGTGAAAAATGGAAAGAACAGTACAACAAATACCCCTGTGCCCTTTTCTTAGATTCAGTAATATGTTAACTCTTTGGCTTTCTCTCTATGTAAATTTATATATGTGCATGCATACATCTCACCTTTCTGGGGAGCCATTTGATAGGAAGTAGCAGACATCATGGCACTGGTGCCTGATACTTCACGTTATTTTTTAAGATACAAAATTTTCTTTAAAAAAATTTTTTTTTAATATTTAATTTTAAATCATTATGGGTACATAATAGTTGTATATCTTTTAAGGCAACATTTTCTATCATAATCACAAGACCAAATCACATCCATTAAATTTAACATCAGTAGAATGTTACCTAATGGACAGGGGTTATTTAAATTTCCCCAATTGTCCAAATAGATAGCTTTTTTGCTTTTAAATTCCATGATCTAATCAAGGTTCACACATTGCACTAACTTGGCCTGTCTCTGTAGTCTCCTTTAATCTAGGACAGTTTTCTCCTTTGTTTCAGTTTCTTAAGATTGACTTTTTTTTTTTTTTAAAGAGACAGGGTTTTGCTCTGTCACCCTGACTGGAGTGCAGTGACTCAGTTACAGCTCACTGCACCCTGAAACTCCTGGGCTCAGGTGATCCTCTTGCCTCAGCCTCCAGAGTAGTTCTGACTACAGGACCACATAGTCATACCCAGCTGATTTTTCTTTTGTCTTGTAGTGATGGGGTCTTGCCGTGTTGCCCAGACTAGTTTCCAACTCCTGGCCTAATGTGATCTTCTGGCCTCCCAAAGTGCTGGAATTATAGGTGTGAGCCACTGGACCCAGCCTGAGAGTGACAGTTTTGAAGAGTCTATGCTAATTGTTTCATAGAATGTTTTACAATCTGATTTGTTTCATGATTAGATTCAGATTAAACATTTTGGTCAGAATGCTACCTGTGTGGGTAAAGTCCTCTTGTCACTTTATCACATCAAGAGACATTTAAGGTCAATTTGTATCTTTTTTTTTTTTTTGCCTAAAACTATGGTGTTCAACAATTTGTATCTTAATTGATAAAGCTAAGTTTGATCAATTGTTGAAGATGGTGTCTGCCATAATTCTTCATTGTAAGGGTACTGGAATCATCTCTTAATTAAGAGGTGTATGTAGGGTGATACTTTGGAAAGGACTGTTCTGTTCAATATTTCTGGTTTTTTGTTCCCTTTTCTTTAAGAAAAGATTGAGATAAGTGGATTTGGGATGATAGTTTGAATATGTCATAGTAGAAAATGTGTTGCTGTGAAATGGTTTTGCTTTCAGAAATTATTCTGAAAATATTACTGCAATATGTACTTGAGTTTATGGTTACTTCTATGGACATGTAACTTGAGGGTGAACATCAGGGATTATTCATTCAGTAAGTGTACGTTTAGCTACGTGCTGGCTCAGGGCTGGGGGTATAATCGGCTGTGAACCATAGTCCCTGACCTCAAGTGCATCAGATTTTGGTGATAAACATGATGTCCCTGCTGTGTTTCATCCTTAGCTAGAATGATGGGTATAATGAAGTTTGATCCTATTTGAGGCACCAAAGCCTGCTTAGCAGGAATTCTATTCATTGTCCTGCATCTGGCATAGTTGGTATTTTGGCCTCCAAAAAAAGGTTACTTTCCTTTTATGCCAACTCATTGTGGCAGAATCATTGCTGTGAAATATTTGAAATATTTATCTCTACCAGGAAGGATTGAATTGATTTTTTTTAACCTGCATTTGCAATTTAGCTATTTAGACATCTGCCTAGCCCTTTTTTATTCCAGTTGTTCAGATTTCTTTTGTTGTTATTTTTAACAAATGAATACCAAGAAAGGCAGATTTTTCCTTGTATCAGGAATGCCATTCATTTTCTGAGGATATGGATTTCACTAAATCAACTTCAAAGTGCATTTTGTGATAATTAAACTAAAACGCAGTAATGTTTTCATTGTCCCAGTTTCTGGAATCAAGAATGAGTCTCGCTTGGACCTGTTATTTATTCATTCACTCAGCAAATATTTACTCTGTTAATTGTGTGCCTGTTGTTTTCTAGGCACTAGAGTAAAGATGTTATAATGAACAAAAGAACACCCCTTCCCTTGTGGAACTTTTGTGCTAATGAGGAAAGAGAAAACAAATAATCAAAAACCTAGGAAATGGAGCAGCTAATGGTGGGTGTCAGGGTGAGGGGCCTAGTAAGTGGCAGGGCCTGTGTGGTAGGGGGATGTTGTTTTCCATAAGGTTATCAGGAGGCCCTTGATGATGATAGTGAAGCAGAAATCCCATGGATGTGAGGAACAGGCCACTCAGTTATTAAGGGGAAGAGCAAGAACTTTCTAGGCCAGGGAGCAACAGACTCAGAGGCCCTGGAACAGAAGCTTATTGAAGAAACACTAAGGAGGCTGGGGTGCCTTGATGGAATATGTGGGCAAAGGGAAGAGAAGGGAGGGAGGTCAGATCCTGGAGGGCTATATTGGAGGGTGTTGAGCAGAGGGATGATCTCATTTACATTTTTAAAAAGTGTAGAATCCAGTGGTTTTTAGATTTATAAATGCCACCATCATCCCAATCAATTTGAGAATATTTTCATCACTCCAACAAGAAACCCCATACCCAATAGCACTGACTTACTGGCTTTTTATGGAGAATAGATGGAAGGCCAGATCAGGACAGACAGGGTCTGGCCAGGTAAGATCCAGCGACCATGGGTGAGGCAGGCCAGGGGGCCACACTCAAAAACCAGGGAAGAGAAGGCAGACAGGCTGTAGTATCTAGAGAGAGGTGCGAGAGTACAGTTGGTAGTCTCAGTGGGCACATCATCATTGTTAGGAGTGGAGGGGACAGTTGGATTTCCTGGTGGGTTGTTGGGTTTTGGCAAGAGAGGAGTCTCCCAGTGGACTGTGCAGAGCTACAGGCTGATGCATGATTGGCATCAAGGCAGCCCAGGTCCAGGATGGAGTTTCAGGACTAGGTAGGACTCCAGTCCCCAGGATGGCTGATGTGGTCTACTCAGAACCCTGGCTTCAGAGGAACTGGCTGTGTTTACTTGGTGGTTTGACTGCAAGGCAAGATTGGAGTGGGCCCAGCTGGAAGGATGACTCAATATATTCTGAAAGAAATAAGCTCTTTGAGGGCAGGGTCTTTAGTCTTTTTGTTTTTCACTGATATTCCTGGCATATATAATGAACTCTATAAATATTTGACTGATGAATGAATAAATTCTGAACGTATTAGTTTGTTATTGCTACTGTAATTAATTACTACAGTGCTTAAGTGGGGGAGGGGGAGGGGAAGGGAAGGGCTTCATTATATTACATGAGTAGTGTAGTTTATAAAAACACTTTTAGGCCGGGCGCTGTGGCTCACGCCTGTAATCCTAGCTCTTGGGAGGCCGAGGCGGGCGGATTGCTCAAGGTCAGGAGTTCAAAACCAGCCTGAGCAAGAGCGAGACCCCGTCTCTACTATAAATAGAAAGAAATTAATTGGCCAACTGATATATATCTAAAAAATTAGCCGGGCATGGTGGCGCATGCCTGTAGTCCCAGCTACCCGGGAGGCTGAGGCAGAAGGATCACTCAAGCCCAGGAGTTTGAGGTTGCTGTGAGCTAGGCTGACGCCACGGCACTCACTCTAGCCTGGACAACAAAGTGAGACTCTGTCTCAAAAAAAAAAAAAAAAAAACACTTTTAGATGGATGGGATTATTGCAGGACTCTAACAGAAAAGGCAAACTTGGATCTACAAAACCCTTTTTGAGGCCGGGCGCGGTGGCTCACGCCTGTAATCCTAGCACTCTGGGAGGCCGAGGCGGGCGGATTGCTCGAGGTCAGGAGTTCAAAACCAGCCTGAGCAAGACCCCGTCTCTACCAAAATATAGAAAGAAATTAATTGACTAACTAAAAATATATATACAAAAAAAGCCGGGCATGGTGGCGCATGCCTGTAGTCCCAGCTACTAGGGAGGCTGAGGCAGTAGGATCGCTGAGCCCAGGAGATTGAGGTTGCTGTGAGCCAGGCTGACGCCACGGCACTCACTCTAGCCTGGGCAAGAAAGTGAGACTCTGTCTCAAAAAAAAAAAAAAACCCTTTTTGAAACAAAGTGATTTCTCTTTAATCTACTGTACCTTAATATATTGTCTATTTAATGTAATTAGTGCTTAAAACAACACAGATTTTATCATCTTACAGTTCTTGAGGTCAGAAGTCAGATATGGATCTCCCTGGGTTAAAACCAAGGTGTCAGCAAGGCTGGGTTCCTTCTGGAGGCTGTAGGAAGAATTTGTTTCCATATTTTTTCCAGCTTGTAGAGGCCACCTGCATTCCTTGGCACATGGCCCCTTTCTCTTCCTGTAAGTCAGCAGTATGACATCTTCACATCTCTCTGACTCTGACCTCCTGAATCCCTCTTATCAGGACCCTTGTGATTATAGTACACCCATCAGGAAAATTCAGGATTCTCTATTAATAACATTGCAAGGTCCTTAATTTAATCATGTTCACACAGTCCCTTTGATCGGTTAAGGTTACATATTCACAGGTTTGGGGGATGAGGATGTGAACATCTTTGGGACCCATTCTACCACCATGCTTATTCTCAGTTCCCTTATAATCTTTATTAGGGATTAATTATCTGACTTCTACTTCACGTCATAGGGAGTGACATGCCTTTAGCTGCCAAGGTAAACAAAGCTGAGATAATACATTTGATCTGAAGCAGTGAACAAGGAAATACTGTAAGCTATGTAAACAAAGTTTGGGGTTTTTTGGTTTTTTTTTTTTGAGACAGAGTCTCACTGTGTTGTTCAGGCTAGAGTGCCGTGGCATCAGCTTAGTTC